TTGAACCACCCTAGTACACATATGAGTAGGTATGTATATTTTTTATAATTTGAAACTTTTCGGTTAAGTTAAGCTTTTACGTCAAAAATCATTTCAAAGTTCAAATCTCATTGTTTTCCTTTTTTGAACCACCCTGTTACACATATGAGTAGGTATGTATATTTTTATAATTTCTTATAAATTGTTCGGTTAAGCTCGTTTAAGTCAAAAGTCATTTAAAATTGTAAATCTCACAGTTTCGATTTTTTTTGACCCACCCTAGTACACACATGGGTGGGTATTCATATATAGTATATTTTTAAAATTTGTAATTTTTCGGTTAAATCTCACAATTTTGCTATTTTGAACCACCCTAGTACACATATGAGTAGGTATGTATATTTTGGGATTTTTTTTGTACCACCCTAATGGGTAAGCAACATTTGTTTATAAATAAATACAATATTTATATACATACATATGTAAATGTGGAATAATGTCTGTTGTTGAAAATAATTTGTAGTGCCATTTGTTCTTGAACTTGAAAAGCAAACTTCATATTAACGATGGCATACACATATGCATATTTTCATGACATACATACATATGTATGTACATGCATACCTGGTTAGCATTAGCAGCTTTAAGGTGGCCAGCGGCGTCGCCTTCAAAACTCCATGAACGAAAACGTGATTTGAATAAATTGCTTGTGTCTAAATATTAGTGGCAACGTTAGTTTATGTTATGTGCGGCATTTTTTTATTTGCTCAATGACTTCGTAATATTTCGCTTGCCTCTCATTCCAAACAAACTTGCTTTAAGTCTGTATGTAAGCAACAATTAGACAATACATACATGTGCTTAAAGTTAATTTATATTTTTATTATATAGGAGAAGAGTGCGCATGTGATTTGGGTCTTTGGCTTTCAGTAACGAAATCTAAAATGACTGAAAACGGCGGTATGAAGTACACAGTGTACTGAAAGTAATGCAAAATGCCTAAAACAAATCACTTGATGTCGAGAGACTATTGCCGTCTTACTAAAAACGCTAGAATATGCGTTTCGCTAACTAAATTTTGAACTGATTTTATGAATTTGGTTCAATTTTGGGTCAAGTTCTATTTCATCGACATTGCTTTCAAGCAAGCAGGTATATTTTGATGTAGTTTTCTTATGTCGCCTTGATCTCAACACCATTTCCAGATACTAACATTCACTAGGCACTCTCAGCTTATTCTATGGGCAATATCGTTGGTTAGTATAATATGTGTGGGATCTTAGGGCGAGGCTAAATTATAAAATTGTTTGATATTCGTTTCTATTATTTCACTAAATCTTCGAAAATTAGGAATGTGAGGTCTGCCAGCACAGAAAACGAGGTCTGCATATTTAAAAAAAATTAAATTATAGCCGACCCCTTATTAAAAACTAGATTTTCTCGCATTATAATAAAAAMCATATTTTTTATTTTCCTCAAAGTAGACTTCAAAGATCAAACTCAGTTTTATGCTATTAAAATAGAAAAAAAAATTATTGAGTCCGAGTCAAATTTGATTAGATGGTATGCAAAACTGACCTTATAACAATAACAAGATTGTCTCGTATTTTAATAAATATATTTCGTATTTTCTTCAAAATAGGCTTCAGAGATTAAACTATGGTTGTATGTTACCAAATTAGAAAAAAAAAAAAATCGAGTCCGGGTCAAATTTGATCAGATTGTATTCAAAGGAGACTCTACAACATTAACATTTGGGAGGGCACAGCGCGTTCAAATCAATCGCGGCAATCGAAAAACACTTTTAAGTTTTGCACTCGTCATCATCAGCATTTTCTATATTGATTAATATTCGATAACACTCTGTATATTTTCGACATTATTGAGTGCCATTATTTTAAAAGTGGCACCTTTATCACCACTCCATAACCAACTATCASAACAAGCACTGTGTCAAAAAAGATACGAGTATGCAGGCAATTATATTGTTAGCTGGTCACCTTTAAACAAAATCACGATAATTCTTATGATCACACAACCAATCGTATCAGCATTTGTTTACATTCATTGAACACAGTATAAGTATTTGCTATGAACAAACAGCTTTTTAGACAATGTTGAGTAGCTTTCGTGTCTTGGTATTTACCCGCACTTAAGTCGTCATTTGTTTGTTTATCCACAGCACATACATACATACATACATATGTGTGGATTTTTCAAAAACAGAAATGAAAACAGACAATATAAAATTGGATTTGATTTGTCATCGCCGATTACCGGCATTGTGCGAGCGACTTGCTCTGGGTCGACTAAGCTAAATGGGTGTTTTGAGCTTGTAGAGCAGCGCCAAACTGGTTCGCATAAAATACTAGAACGAATAAATTAAATCAGCAAAAGGAAAACATTTGTATATACACACGATATGTACATATAACACATATGTAGATGCGTTATATGGCTGGAACGTGAGTTCAAAATCGCATAAAAATTAATGAATTACAATGAATATTAAGTTTCAAAGAAATGCTTAGTTAGTATACCAAGAAACCCCTAGACTTTCGGAAATACATCATTAATCATAATATATTTCAGCCGTTTTCTTTACAGCAACTGTCAGCTGTAGGGAAATTGCATTCTGGATTTTGTAATACCTGTCTACTGTATTTTGGCTGGAAAATACTTGAGCAGCGCGCTTGTGAACTGTTGAGCCACCATGAAAATGCTCAACAACAGAAGTACAATTTCATTGATAATATTCGATATCTCCAGCTACGAAATATACACAACAAAAAAAAAAAMGATTTTTCGAAAAAAATTTYACACTGATACGATCCCTTAAGTAAGCAACCGAGCTTTTTTAGATTGCAGATTCTGTAATGTGACAAGCTGAGTCGATTTAGCCAGATGGACAGTATATAAGTTGTTATATACGCGACTAAGTCCATCAGTTTTGGAATTATCTAAGATTTTGTATACGTACTTTTCTCATTTCTCATTTCTCATTTGTTGGATCCGCCAATTTTGGATCATTAGTTATATTATTATAGTATAGCTGTCATACGAGTCYTTGTATTGAAAACTTTTTTATTTGTCAAGAAGTCTTCATGAAATTCGGCACGAATTATTTTCTAAGGCTAGACTGCAATCTCCGAACTTATTGTTCAGATCCGTTCAGTATAGCATATAGCTGGCCTACAATCTGACCGATCAAATTCCATTCCTTGTATGGATTTTTTTTGTATTTGTCAATATATCTTCTCGAAATTTGRCACAAAATATTTTCCAAGGCAAGACTGCAATCTCGAAATATATAGTAAAGATCGGATCACTATAGCATATATGTAGCTGCCATACAAATTGGCCGATCCAAATCAAGTTCTTTTATAAAAACTTTTTAATTTCACAAATTATCTTTACGAAATTTGGCATGATTTATTTTCCACAGCAACGCAACAATCTCCGAAGATATTTTTCAGATCCGATCGCTATAGCATATAGCTGTCATACAAATTGACCGATCCAAATCAAGTTCTTGTACGAACAACTCTTTAATTTCACAAATTATCTTTACGAAATTTGGCATGAATTATTTTCCAAAGCAACGCTACAATCTCCGAACATATGGTAAAGATCGGAMCACTATAGCATATAGCTGGCATACAAACTAACCGCTTAAACACTTAATAAAAAACTTTTCATACGCTTTTATGCTATGGGAAATGCAGCTGAGAAGGATATTACAGCATCGGTGTAGCCTAAGTGTACGTTGTCTCTTGTTTCTATAATATTTTTGTTTTAATATTCCTAACCATAACCATACATTTATAAGCATGAGGCTARCTTTGATTTATTTTAAAACATTCAGTTTATTTAATTTAATTTTTCAATTAAATATAGCAACTATTAAATTTTTATATATTTAAACGTATTTTGAATGCATTGCTCTGCAAAAATAATGCTTCACCTTTTGTAGAATTTACATCTACAATTCAAAAGTAATGCGCACATCTACTAAAATCAAACAGGTTTTTGAAAATAGTTTCTTTTTGCTKAATTCTTTATATGCAAATATTAAACAAATAAACTTTCTACACAGATATGTATGTATGTAAATATGTACACTTTTTCTCAATCAATTTTCACGGTTGCCTCATCGACAAASGAATGCTGTTTGTTTTGAGATAATAATCAATTAAAACGCCGTTGGTATTACCACTGACATTTCGACATATAAAATATTTGTCAATCAAGCGAGTAATATCGTTTTTGTTGATCCATGCGAATAAGTCACAAAATTTGTAATCTAAGTTGTTCAAAAAAGTTTTAGCACTTTTTATTCTTTATTAATTCCCATTCCCTTAGTCTACTTTCAATCTAAAAATTGCGCCCATTTCCGTCATCACCAAATCATTTTTCTACTTGACTTGCAATTTGTCTTRCATGCTATGTCACACTGCAAATTTATTACGTAAATTTTGTTGTTACTATGCTCTTACACTGTACATATATGTATTCATATATCTCCTTTTTCATTATTGTACTTGATCGATTTTTTGCTTTTTTTCACCTAAGTGATATATAATTTAACAGCTGATCTTGTATGTTTAGATTATTTTATCATTCATTTTATAAGCGTTTACCTTCACCGTTTCAATTCAATTTCATTTACCTTTCGGAGATTGCACACACACACAGGCAGCACTTAAACAATACGTTCGTAGGCTTTCTTCGCTGACTTTTTTGACTGATTTTACTATTTCATTTATTCGTACTAAAGCGAAAATGTCTTCTCTTCTAATTTTATAAGCAATTTTAAACAAACCTTTTGCCTCGACGTCTCGTATACGATTGAATGCTTTTTACCGAGATTCTGTTAGCTTTCCGCCGCACAACGCACTTTCGKGTGGCGCTCATGTATCTGAACATTTCACATCGATCAATGCCGGTTGTGAGTGTAGTGAGTGTAGAACAAATGCTACTCAACTAATGTTAAGAAAGGCATGTACATATGCTTAAGGAGAGGCCGACGAGTGTTCTCCAATCATAGGATTATACATTTTTCGTTTAAAACTCAAAATTATCTGATCAAATTTGAACCGGACTGACTAAACAGAAAAAAATTGTCAGGTGTTTTGATACAAATTTGTATTATCGCCTTCAACTTAACACACTTCATACCAAAAAAATTCACTGAAATAAGTTACATCACCCCATAGGAGATGTTGAGATCCTCTGSTATCTMTYCGATGCCAACTCGASGATTTTCARGTACTGTTTCTTTAACTTTTTCGAYGTCATCGCTATTAACAGAGGTGGATGGACGACACGCATGAGGCAAATATTCGTTGACTTCACGCGAGCTTCACTGAATTCTTTGTGCGACTCAAATAGTTGTATTCGTGATATATTASACTCCCAGAACATATTTACAACATTTTGATTGATTTCGTAGCAGTGAATCCATTGGAAATACAAAATTTCAAGCAAACTCGTTCATTGGTTAAAATTGCCATACAAACTATTCGTAAACAAACAGCTGTCGAACCCGCAATTGACATACATAGATCCAAAGTCGTCACGGAAATCAAAATTCATACGAACAAAAAATAAGGTTGTGCCGAATCTAAATTTTTAAATATCTAAGTACTTAGTAGTTAAGTAAATTACGCAATTGCAATCAATTCGGGCAGCTCATCGAACATTTGTCAGTCTGTCAATTAAACTAAACACCTTATATGCATATATTTCCAAGAGCACGTTTAAATTAAAAAACCTTACACTCAATGTTCTTAGCAAGCGCTCAGATTAGTTGAATGTACTCCTGAGCAGAAAACTGGTCTAAAATTTAGACTCTAAAYGCTGCAACCTGTGGCTGACTAACTTTAAACTGTGTATGCTTTTAGTCTCAATCAATGAATCAAATACAATGTGTGTGTGTGTGCTGTATGTATGAATACCGGCTAAGGTTAAGATAAGTTTGTTTATACGCATTTTACTTTTAATACAAGTATGTACATATAATTGTATGTAGATATGTTTAAACTTTGAGTTTATTACACTTCACACGCATTCTTTGTTTTTATATTTGGGACAAGCACTTTGATTGTCTGTAAGTTACTAGCGAAAATGTTTGGCATGCTGAACAGTCATATGTCACAACTTTTATACGTAAATATAAACAGCTTAAGTGATAACATTGCTTTCACACATTACTGTTATCTTAGCAAACATTTCATTTCATATTTGCCTTTTTTGGTAATACGGAATATTGTACGGAACCGTTTTATCTTTGACAAATTACGTGAAAACATCTTGCCAAATAAAAACGTATTACATACAATGACTTGACTTTGATCGGTCAGTTTGTATGACAGCTTTATGTTATAATTGTCCCATTCAAAAAATATATTCATATTGGGTAGTCGAAAAACTAGTTTCGTATTTTGCAAATAGATATCGTTGCAGTCGAATATCTCCAGTGCTACCAATATAAAGATATGATATGTTAAGGTGATGGATGAAGGTATGGCGTTGGAAAGGTGAAATTTTAACCAAAAATTAAATACAGGCAAGTTGAAAAAAAACTTACAGATGTTCAAAAAKGCTTGAAAATTATGAAGAAATTCGCTATATTTTGAAATTTTTGCGTAAAAAAGGGAAGAATGCCACGCAAGTCACCAATGAAACCGAATTTACATCTGCGACTCTTTGCTGAAACGAAATGAAATCGAACCATTTCTGAAGCGATTGCTAACAGGAGACGAAAAGTGGATCACAAATGACAAAAGTGTGCAAAAAAGATCATGGTTCAAGCGTGGTGAAGTTCAAAAAATGTTCGCAAAGCCAGGATTGAAGCCTCGAAAGGCTGAGTGTTTGGTGGGATTGGAAAGGAATCATACACTATGAGCTGCTCCAGCCTGGTCGAAAGATTGATACTACATTTTACTGTCAACAACTGATGCGATGGAAACAAGCAATCGAAAAAACAACCAGAACTGATCAACAGAAAGGGCTTCGTCTTCCATCAGGACAACGCTAGACCACCCACAACTTTGATGACTCGGCAAAAACTGGGAGAGCTTGGCTAAGAAGTTTTAAAGCATCCACCATATAGCCCTGATCCTGCACCAGCGGACTACCATTTGTTTCAGTCATTCCAGAACTCCCTTAATGGAGTAAAGTTGGCTTCAAGAGAAGCCAGTGAAAATTACTTGTCGCAGTTTTTCGCCGAGAAACAAGAAACGTTTTTCACTGTTGGAATAATGTCTCTAGCGGAAAAAAAATTGTACATATTTGTTACATTAAAGTTCGTTATAAATAATAAAATGAAGTTGAAGTTTAATTAGAAATACGAAAATACTTTTTCGACTACCCAATATATATATGTGGATACTTCACAGGGTATCCGACATTARCAGCTGGGTGTTATAAAATTCGTGACAAACTTAATAAACTCGTAGCTTGCTTTTATTGCTTTTTAAAGCTCACTCCACAGTGTAGATAAATCATCATCAAGAAACTGATTTTCAAAAAAAAAAAAAAATTAAATAAGAATTACATCGGACAGCAACTCTATCTGAGCCACCATTAGTACTTGAACCCATTATGTGTTAATGTAGTSGACTAGACAGCAAATTTGCTTATTTTTAAAGCCAGCAACCCATAATAAGTCCATTTTCATGGATATAACTGAAGTCCATCATAAAAGTTTACCAATTGGAAATTGTGTATGTCTTAGCCCTCGCTAATTTACCAGCTCATCAGTACATTATWATTTTTTTATTTTTTTCAAATTAGTTCAATAGCCTCACGCGTTTTTTAGTAGGAACACATTGATGWATTATTTTCATATTTTCCTTCCTCTTTCCCCTCAAACAACCTTGAACTGCGCGCCAAGCGGAACGTTCATAACCAAGCTATCTTTTTGCTAATGTCTACACTATATTTTTTTCGTTTCACGTACGTATTTGTGTACCTGTTCAGGTAGAGCTGTCTATACGCCAAAGACAAACTTACCATCATCGTCAGTCGACAAAAGCCCTAGCAACAAACAAAAGCGCGAGAATTTAAAAAAAAAAAACAAAAAGAACAACAAATGTTCGCCCCAAGTCGAGGAGAAAGAGTGTGGAAGGATGAAATAAGACACGAAGCAGCATTTTGATATACTAGAACTCTTTGGCTACTGCATAGTTATTCATCCACATATGTACAGAAGTAATATACATACATATGTATAGGTATAAACATAATGATCGCGGTGTTTTGCAGCCAAACAGGATTTCGTCGTATCTTGAAGACTTCTTCCAGCTGATTTGCTTTTACCGTCTGTCTTCATAAGGTAAAATGTTCATTAAAAGCAAGCAACAAGGCTTTGGTCAGAAAATTTCAGGGCAACGTACAATGGGCGGGTTCCATATTGCTACAGCATAGAATAAAATGATATCTGTGTTTCTTATTGCACATGTGTATGTTTGGAAAGTTGGATGTTAAAAATTAGTTCTTCAAGGAGCTTGGAGCTGTTTCAAAACTAGTAATAGAACAAAC